AGCTGCTCGGAGGTCTTTTGGGGATGACTTATTATGCTCTATACATATGCGTCGTATGACTTATATGTGACTTAAAGTAAGTTTCTAACTATTCTTGATACATCTCGTTTTGGCGCAAGATCTCCAATTTCTCTTCTAAGCCATCAAACAAAAATAAAAAAGCACAAAAAGAAAGCAAAACTCCTTGCAATTATATTAAGCAAGAAGAAAGCTTATAGTTTTATTGAAATTCTCGCGCCACAAGCTTCTTTATGCAGCTCAACTCTCTCTCTCTCTCTCTCCTCAAGCTTCGAAAATAGCATTTAATTTGGAGTTAGGGTTAGTGTCAGTAAAGAGGGACTTAGTTTCTTCAAGTTTCCATTTCCATTTTTATTTCTATTCTCTACAATCACTACTTATGAAGATTACAGTGAAAATATGGCTGCTCTCAAAGTGGTGCGTGAGTCTAAAAGAGGTGAGAACAACACTGAGACTGACGAACTTGCTTATTTCACTGTTGATGAACATAACAAGAAAGAGAATGCGCTACTTGAGTTTGTAGGGTTGTTATCTCAAAATATCATACCAGACCTTAAGTTTTCTTAGGTGTATACGAGTAGAAAGATGATTTCGAGTACTGAGCCAAAATCGGTCCAAGAATCCAAATTTGATCCTGGAAAGGATAAGTTCCGAAACTTATACAGTCTCTGATAATGATAGATATCTATTGCACGTCGTAAAGGTACAAGAGAACATACTAAACACACATTGTATACTATCTCAAAATTTGTGTAATTTGGTAAGTACTCAATCCATAAAAATTTCCTTATAAGTTAAAATAATGAGCATATCCCTATGCAGTACCTAAGGTATTGTCAAGTGAAAAATAAGAAAATGCTATGAGTATGGAAATGCAAACATTTGAAAAAAAAATCATACTTAGAAAATGGTGTATCTATTCAAAAGTAAGAAATCTGTGGGACGTAAATGAGTTTTCTCAATCAAATATAAAGCAGATGGGACAATTAAGAGATGTAAAACATGACTGGTGGGAAAAAAGCATATATAGTCATATGAGATAGACTACTACCAGTAGTCATTAACGTAGTAATCAAGATAAACATTATGTGAAACTTGTTATCATTAGTTGCCCACTTTAATTGGCAGTTACAACAGATTGATGTAAAAAATGTTTTCCTATATGGAGATTTAAAAGAAGAAATCTACCTGAATATTCCACCGGACTTTGTTAAATAAACATGAATAAATAAGGTATATAAACTAAAAAAGGCATTGTATGAACTCAAGTAGTCGCCAATAGCATGGTTTGACAGGTTTATAAGGGTGATGATAGATCTGGGATTCAAGCAAGTTCAAGGGGATCACACTCTGTTCATTAAATACTCAAAGACAGTTAGAGTTACAACTATCTTAGTATATATTGATAAAATTATTGTAATAGAAAATTATGAGAAGGAACAACGAACACTAAAACAGTGTTTGAAATTAAAGAACTAAGTAGGCTGAAGTATTTTCTGGGAATTAAAGTTGTTTGCTCCAAATATAAAATTTTTATTTCTCAATAAAAATACATTCATGATATAGTAAAAGGCACTATCAAATTAGCATGCAAACTAATTAACAATCCTATTGATTTTAATCACAAAATAGAAATTGCAGAGAAATATATGTTAGTAAACAAGAAAATATATCATAAATTAGTTAGAATATTGATCTACATATCTCACACTATACTAGATATCGCCTATGCATTAAGTGTTATAAGTTAATTTATGCATAATCTGAAAGAAGTGTGCCTACAAGCAGCCTACAGAGTACTCCAATACTTAAAAGCATCATTAGAAAAATGAATTAGGTTAAAGAAGAATGACAAATTGCTCTTAGAAAATTATCCTGTACAAATTATACAAGGTCAACTGTAAGCAGAAGATCTACTATAAGCTACTCTATCTTCCTTATGGGTAATCTAGTCACCTAAAGAAGTAAGAAATAAAATATAGTTGTAAGATCAAGTGTAAAATCAAAGTTGGATAGTA